CCCGCGTACATGTGTAGCTTGAGCCGCGGCTGACGTCAGAAAAACGCTCTCCGTTACAATTTCTGACTTAGTAGTCGATGTATAAATGGATATTTCTCTGTGATTACAACTCGGAATAATTTAATTTTACACTCGTTTTAATGGTAACATATTGCTGTAAAAAAGCGCGTCAGGGATTGTTATTAAGTGCCGTATTTTATGAGTTATGTCTCCTTATTTGCCAAAATTTTAAATTCAAACGTGCGAATTGAATTTTAGGCAGTTTTTTTAATTTTTCTCGGTAAATATGAAACTTAAAAAGAAAAATCCTGATGCGCTATTTTGGTACATATTGTGCTTAACATGTGGCGAAAATATTTTGTATCCTCACTCTTTCTGGTAATTGAGAAACATCCAAAATACCATTTTTACATAAAAATTCAAAATTTGTGTGGTAACATAATTAGGTGCTGTAAATTTCATAAAATTTTTTGCCTTCAGCATAGAGATATATCTCCTCTATAAATAAAACAAGTGAGTGATTCGATTCATTCGTCAATAAACGTTTAATCTTTATTAGAGCAATACCCGTGCAAAAGGTTGAGAGTATCCTTAACTGAGCATATTTAGATGTTTATAATAGAATTATTTTACCTGATAACAAATAACAAAAATATTAGAAGTAATTAAATATTATGCATCATTTACAGTAAGCATTCTGTATACATATATTATAACTTTTATAGGATAGTTTGCGCGCGCAATAATATAAAACGGACTTTACTGATATGTCGGCATTTCTGAAGTAAAACAGTGTACATGTGTGTTAGGGTATTTAGGTTCAAGTTTCTGCAGTAAAACATTGTACATGTGTGTTAGGGTATTTAGGTTCAGGTTTCTTGCTCAATATTCTTAATACATAATTTCAGTAAAAATTGTCTATAATAATAATATATTTTTCTCAATGCAATACAATTTATCTATCAACTTGAACATTCTCGCAAGACTTACTCAATCTATAAATGGTTACATTATACCAAGACTGTTAAGTCAAGTGTGCTATCTACTCGCCCACTTCTCGCCATCCCCAAGCGAGGTCACAGGCACTTGAAACTTTTCAATAAAAAAATTATGGTAAGTAAACACGAAATGTATTTTCTACCAAAGTCTTAATGTTTCATTACTCCATTTCGCCTATTATTGCTGATGACTTCCTGGAGATGCCGTTCAGGTGTTCCGCTGCAACACATGAGTACACCGCACGCACGCCGCTGCGCACAAACAACAAGAATAAAAAGTGTTACTTTCTTCTCTTTATTCTTTTTACTCTTATACTCTTTATTTATGTTGTTATACTCTTAATTTATGTTTATTCTCTTTATTCTCGTTTGTTGTTATACTCCTTATTCATCTTTATACTCTTTATTCTTACTAGCAGAAAGTATACCCGTAGAACCAGCAAATGTTGTCTTTAAATATAAACTCCATGTAAGTGACACAGATAAAGTTAAATATTTCATGTAACTGAAAAGAAAACCACTGCACTGGGTACAACAGAACACTGGCACAGCTACTGGCCACTGACTACTGTGT